CCCATAGAGAAAGAAATTTCCAGAAAGTGGATAATAACTCGATTACAAAAATGTCGCTGCGATGTCTACGTGACCAGATGGGGCTGGTTGGTCAGGAGCCGACTCTGTTTAGTGGCACCATCGCTGAGAATATTTTGCTTGGTACCACCGGCAAGACAATGGATGACGTACGCGAAGCGTGTCGCATGGCCAATGCACAAGGCTTTATCGAAGCAACACCGAAGGTAAAATAACACTGCGAGCGGCTGATCATGCCCAGTAGGTTTACAGTAAGCTGTTCAATGACACGAATTGCCTGCTTTACTGAGTGCCTCAATTTTCTAGCTTCTGGTAAGTGCTTCTCATAGATAGCTGTTAATGGAAATTTTAGAGGTATAAACAGTGAATACCCGTGACCAGGAGATATGAAAAGGACGGATGACTTAAAATAGTGAGTTTCCATTGAATTCACTTCCATAAGATTCAAACTTTCCCAGTCAGTGATACATGATTGATATAATCGTATTGATTTCGAAAAATTTTGCAGTTTTTTTCTGAAACGAAATTTTTGCGCAATCTCGTACGGCTTAACTGTTATTCCCCCTGAACACTTCCTTCATTCTGCATTTGCTAAGAAGTCCGAGGCAGTTCTCATACGATATGTCCTCATTGGAAATGCAGTGCTGTTACCACACGCAGTTCCTCTTTTCTCCTCTCTTTCTTCTTCATTCACTGCAAACAGGCGTCGAGCCTCTAGCAAAGAGTGAGGGAGAGGGAGAAAGATCCTAACTATTCTTACAGAAGAGGGGAAAATCCCGTGCTCTGAGGTTTCTCAATACTTTGGTTGACAGTGGCTCGACCTGAAACTTATTGCTTCACGTTTTATTTTCTCACTGTTCAGGGTTATGGTACAGAAGTTGGTGAACGAGGAGCTCAGTTGTCTGGTGGCCAAAAGCAGCGCATAGCTATTGCCAGAGCATTGGTGCGCTGCCCGAAAATACTGCTACTTGATGAGGCAACCAGTGCTTTAGATGCAAACAGCGAACGGGTCTGTTTAAGAGTTTTTTCGAATACTTAAACCCTGGTGCGCACCAAGATTTCTTGCGTAAACATGTTTTTTTTTTGTGCCGTACAAAACCAGGTGGTATCCTCTCAAAATTTCAGTCTTCTCGCCTGCCTAAATGCCAAGAGGGAGTACGAAATTAGCACTGCAGTTTGAACATTTGATACGTCTGTATGCACGACACATTGGTAAGCAAAAATCCGCTTCGAGCATTCTGACCCCCAACTGAACAGCAAAAATCGTCAAAAAATACTGTTCTTCTACCAGTCCAACTACCGAATTATTTGGGTGTTAACAATGTCCCCAAATAAATATTCGCTTGCGAGGACGAAAGACCTAGGCGCGGTTAAAAACTCAAGAGACTTCGAATAATGGGGATTTTTTTCTCGTGCGCGCAAATGAATATTTAGTTTAGGATATCGTTGGCAATCAGTTAATTTCGGTAACTGGACTGAATAGGAAGCAAAATTTTTTGGCATTTTTTTTTGACTCACGGAAGTTTGCTTCAAGCGGACCCCTCGTTGACGCGTGCTGTTCGTCAGAGATTTAAGATAATTGGCACCGAAACAACGGATTTCCGAAATTGATGGATGACCAACGTGTTTGATGCGCAAAAAACATTACCAGTTGAAAAGCAGTGATTCTCGGCAAAAGTTAAAGTTTTAGGCGGTTCAACAAGCCCTGGATGTTGCAAGTAGTGGGCGGACATGTATTATCGTTGCGCATCGTCTTTCATCAATTCAGCACGCCGATCAGATATTTTTCATCGAAAATGGCAAGGTTATTGAACAGGGAACACATCAGGAGCTCATTGAACTGGATGGCAAATACGCTGATCTGATCCGGAAACAGGACCTGAAATCACATTAGTTGAGCGGACCAAATTATCCTGTATAATTGCGATCTGTATAGCAACGTCTTGCATTGCTGACCTCGGTAGCGATGATCCGTTTCTCAAAATTTTTAAGGATATCAAATCTTGCGCCTTCCAAAGATGTTTTTTTTCCCAACGTTATTCAGTTTTTATTACGAATGATGCTGTAACGAATGTAGGCTTCTGAAGAAAATTCAG